TGAAAATCGACGTCAATGGTTTTACGACCAGCGCGCGATAATGGCTCATCACGTGGAATTAACGGATGGTCAGAGGAGTCGGCGGCGCCGCGATGCACTGGGTACGGTTTGAGAGAGCTCGACTCATTTGAATTCGACTGAAACCAGCCATCCCGGCTGCACCGATCCGTGGAGAATTCCATCTGATCCGCTTTTTCACAGAATTGAACTTTACGGTACGAGCGGAGCGTACTCGGAACTTTGAGTCAGAAGTCCCCACGGGGGTCGTTAGTCGCAACCCCGACTGGAGGTATTCGATGCGGAATACCGCGTTAAAGGAATGTGAAACATTTCTTTCCCGAATGTTCTGGCCCAGAGATCTTCTGAGATTCTTCGAGGAGACTAAGGCCTCTAAATTACAGGAGGTTGCGTTGTTACGTCGGCAACGTTTCTCTCGCCGGCTTGCAATGATCCAAAAGTTAGTTGGCAAATTATCGTGGCCCGACAAGTGCAAACTCCGAGCTGGGCGAGCAGGCAGCTTTCTGACCTTCAACGTCGAGTCTTAGAAAGAGATCGAATGTCAACCGCGAATGACCCTGGACTTGCTGACCTTCACTCGGACCGGAGGTCACTCTGAGCGGTGTAGTTATGACGCGGTAGCTTTCCCACACGTCGCCAGAGGAATTACGGATGGACGGGATGAGAGCAGTGTCGAATTGTCTGTCTCTGCATGAAGGTGACCCCACCTAACGGCGCCACGCTTCGTCAAGATTAGGATCCGGTATCGGTTTTGCCTCGACCCGAAACCCGATTCCTCTTTTTTCGACCGATGCGCTTTATATGATCGCCGATGCAGTAAATGCTTCGAACTTCGATGCAATGGCGACGCTTTGCATTGCAACGGACCGAACGGACGTCGCCGACCGGGGAAGAGTGACTCTGTGTAAAGCATAATAGATATTTATTGGTTGTGCCGGGAGAGGCTGCACTTTGGCGGGCACGCGAGCGAGCGGGCGGTCTGGCTGGCTGGCGGCTTGGCTGGCTGGCGCTTTGGATGGTAGCGACCTCCCTCGCGTTCCGGGACACCTTGGAGCCCGAAGGGAGTCCGACGACGATTTGAGGGGGAAAAACGTTGTTAGAGAAAGGGAACCGGCGAACAGAGATGGGAACCAAGGGTAGAACGAACGGACGGACGAAGGAACGAACGAAAGAGTCAAGAGGACATTCAGATCGTCCTTCAAATGCCATTCGCTGCTTTTCGTCGGGGAGAGGAGTCGAAAAACAGACGGTTATATTTTTCCCTGTTTTCCTGTCGTCTCTGAAAGGTCGTGTCTGGGATCGTGCTCGGCTCTAAGTGAGCTCTCCCAGGCAGACAGAAATACTCGAGGACACTCAGCAGATGCAGAGAATACTCGAAGATCATCTGACGGAACGCCGATGGTGCAAAACAGAGTTTGGGAGGAAAAAACCTAATTCCTCTCTCAGACATCGACAGACGGACCTCGACGGACGAACCTCGACGGACGGAGATTGAGGGCTCGACCGCCCGACGCCAATTCGAGTCCCCGACTGCACTTCGTAGATTCAGCGAAATATAAGGTTGCGTGCATGCAGATCAATTCCTAGATTCGGCAACCCTCGACTCAAGCCTGAGTTGCCTTCACGAGTTTTGCCTTCGTCGAACACTGTCGACCGGCCGGACGGCTTACTCCGAATGGGGGAAATTCTAGCAGACGCTCCGCCGGTCGCGGTGGTCGCAGCCGACGGGAACAAGGCTCCGCAGCGAGGGAAACTCCACCGGGGACATCCCGGTGCTGAGCGAGGAACAGGAAGGAATTCCGGACGTCGGCGACGATTCCGAGATCCTTCGGCTCCGAGCCGCTGACCCTGGGAGCATTCAAACCCTGGCGCGCCGACCACGTTCGCAGCGGCGGCGGCGGGGATTTCTTCTTTTCTTTCCTCGTCAGCCAGTGTTTCTCCGGCGGGCTCTCTTTAGGGAACGCGCCTCTCCCGAGGCCCCGACCGGGGCCCCCACAGCCAGCCGAACGGGGATTGACATTTACCGCCGATCCGCTCTCGCGCCCCGCTTCGAAGCCGACGGTCGGCTGCTGAGTGACCGTGACGTCGGTTGTTGGCTTCTCTCACTTAGAAACAGCAGCAGCATAGCATCATCATCGCTCCTGCGCCTCCTCCGAACGCTGCCCCAGGCCGCGTGCAAGCGGTTGCAACGAGTGCGAGCTCGATCAAATGTTGTCATCGACGCGATCACGACAAAATCAGCTCCAACGCGTCTGGAACTAATCTGTGCTCCGTGCTCCTCACCTGGCAAAACACGCCGACCCCGAGAGAAGTCGGCCGAGCTCGCGAGCGGGCAAGTGAGCCGCCACAACAACCCCGACCTGGGACACGGCGACAACTACCGCCCCTGCTGCTGGTGCTGCTTCCGTTCCGGCCGCCGCTGCAACAATTGCATCACTACCGTGTCGCCCGTGAGCTGCCTCGATAGGCGAGCGAGTCCGAGAGGTACAAGTCGTCGCATCTAGCTTCTGCTCTAGACATCCAATCGGCTCCAAACTCGTCCTTCGACTCATGTCTCTGTGGACTGATGGAGACGATCGTTGCGAGTGAGCCACCGGACCCTCGGCATCGGAGAAAAGGCTGGGTGAGATTGAAGATGTGAGATCGACGCCATCCCCTGCTAACTCATACCCCAGGAATACCTCGACCGAAGGACTTTTCCGACAAGGACAGAAAGACTGACGAAAATCGATGCAATGCAACAAGAGAAGAAAAGTGTCGACCGCAGTCACAGTCTAGAGTCCAGACGGTTACGCTACGGTGCCCGACCGGGCAGCAGCCGCCACCTCCTCCTTGGAAAGACCGACAATGACGGGAAGTTGTTTCTCCTCTATCGAGTCAGGTTGTGATTTTCTTTAGTGCAGTTCGCTGCGCGTTCCCCGATGGGGAGCGTGCGCACGTGAGATCAATCATCAAAGTCAGTTTCGTGGCGTGTCCACGATCGCAAAGTTCATTTCGTCAATCAGTGGATCTCTCTACACAACCATCTACCTCCGTACCAAGTGCGCCAGCAGTCCTCAATTAGGTGACTTCCGGGTCGGTCGAGTTTGCGGAGCAAACACTTATCGGGGAGTCAGCTTGTCGTCAGCGATATCGCTGCGAAATACGAGTGACTCGGAAGGAGAAGGAGACGTGAATGTCGAGAGAGCTCGTGGCACGCGAACAAAGTATCCGATTTTTTCGAAAGGAATAGAGGAAAAACTTCGAATAACAAGGAATTTCGAAGGAGGGGTGGAAAAGGGCGGAATCTGAGCGACGAAGTTGACGGAATTTCGCTGCGCCCGCGCAGAAATCGGAGGATCGCCTAAACCGACGTAGTCGCAACGAGAAATCGGAGAACCAGTTTCCTCGATGAGAATCGGTTCGAGAATCGGACGGAACGGTATCGGACAGTCAGAACGAATCAGAAAGGAGTGGAAGCGAACGAGAAAGTCCGCGTAAAAGCTTATCGCAAGCATGCCTGGAAAATCTGTGTCATCTGCGCTTATGAAGCCGTTGGTGGTGTTGGCGCTGCCGGGGATGTATCTCGTCTACAAGATCAACGAGTTCAAACGGCACCAACAAGAAGTCAATCGGAGAAAAGTCACCGAGCGCGAACTCGCCAACCTCAATAGCAAGATCGTGAGTTCTCCTCGTAATACCGTAGAATAGCTTCCGAGTTGATCACCTTCGTCGTCGAGATATCGATTGTAGCTAGCTATCAAGACGCATTATCACCGTGTCCTTATTGCTGTGTATGGGTCGCGGTGACTTTCTGCCGAACCCGCGCGATGTGCATCGCGAGTGGAGTAGCTATGCAGATCGGCCGATACCGGACCGGTAGGTCCACCGGAAGAGAAATAGGGGGAGTGCAGAACGAATTTCCGTTTCTATTCGCATCCGACGAACGAGTGCCGTGGCGTTCCGCTAGTGAATACCCAACGAAGCTCTCAGTCAGTCAGACGATCAATAGCAAGTTTCCTCTCCTCTTCGAGTATACGCAAGACCGTGTGTCCGTACTTTCCTCCTCGTAGGTATAATCGAGTGTTATCGATGATCCCGCATCGGGGTTCCTTGCGAGACGTCCCATCCGATATCCCGCGCGTTCCGAGATGGAGTCCGCCTAACGTGGAATGGACCCTCCGGAGGACGCAGACGCACATATTATGCATCACGTTCAAACGCTCAGGGATGCTCTTACAAACCTCGTGCCCACAGCCCTGCTTACGAGGCCGAAGGAGGAATACTTTTTCGTCTCTCGTGCTTGTGTTTCCAATCGTGCGGGAATTCGTAAACGGAGCCTCCGCTTCAATCCAGATCGGGGGAAAGAGCTCGGATGGGCGCTCTCCGGGAAATATTTACCGACTGTCGGGGATTCCGAGGCCTCGGCTGTTTGCTTACCACAGCTGTAGAGCTTTAGCGCATACTTTGCGATTGGATCCATGTAGTATGCCGGTTCAGCCCAGAAACCTGTGCGCAATGTTTATGTATCCGAATTCGCGTGGATACATGCATATTCGAAGAACACGCTGGGTTAGCCCGCTTCCCTAATTGACAGTTTCGGAATCTGTTGCGTTACCACGACAACAGGACCCCCTGTATTCGCTGGCGGTCCACGCTAGCTTGACGTCTGCTCTCGCTCGATGTTGACCTCGGCTGAGTCTCACCGTACGAGGCTGAGCGAGGCCAGCTGCTGACTGGCTATTCGATCGGTCGGACGTTGGTCGGTTCCGCGGATCGCAAGGAAAGCTCAGAGGACTCGCTGTTCGTCGAATCGGAGTCATCCAAAGCTCCGAGAGCTATCTGGCGAGCGCCCAGGGTGGATCCAACGAGCGAAACTTTTTCTCCCAAGTGAATCGATGCGATCCATGTGCCTACGTGGAGCTACTGTAGACTAGACGAGAGCTTTCGCTGTGAAGAATTTCAGTGCCTGATAGAGAAAGCTCTTCAAACATCGCGACGCGATGCCTTCCTTTAACTCGGCGATCCTCTCTTCGTGCTGTCAACGCGCACCACGAGATTACCGACAGCTCGACAGTGACTCACCGAAAATTATCAAACCAGAAACTCCCGAGAAGAAGGGCAAGAAAAAGGATCCGCTGACCACTAAATGGAATTTCTTCAAACGTCTGTGTTCCCTGACCAGAACCAAGGATGGAGGATTCTCCGAAGACAAGGAGCTCGACAACAACATCAAACTTATCCTTGATAAAGCGGTAGGCTCGCCTCGGGAACGGGAGACGGGCGAAAAGCTTCATGCACAGTCCTGCTTTCCTGTGCAGTTCATTCCTGGCTCTCCACGTATCTGCAATGCAAAGACATCCGACAACAACACCGCGCCATTCGATCTTTCACAAAGCTTTCGATCATTGCACTGAACATGCTGTCTCTTTGAACCTTCGTGAGGTCACAGTATTGTGGCAACGGTCGTCTATGCTCATCGATGGGCTCTAATCGCTATCTCGAAGGAGCTACCCCGAACGGATATACGTATCACGCTTCTTCAACGCCGTCTTCACGCGATGATTCCACGTTTGGATACTCATTGATCTACTGGATGAGTGACTCATTCTCCTCCGCTTTTTTTGCAGGACAAACTGCTTAATAAATTGGATGAGCACGAGCCAGAGCTCGCAGGCTCCCAGGATGAAGAGGTGAGTCTAGAGCTCGACGATTTCCTTCGTCTGCGTCACGAATTTTTTTTCTCCATGAGAAAAAAACTCGAGTGAACTACGCAAGTCTCTTCCGATACTGGAACTAGCCGAAATGAATGTACCGCGCCGCAGTCCTCGGAGGGCTGCGATGAATAATTGATCAAAGCTCTCGACCTAAAATACTCGTTGGCTTCTGCAACGGCGACCGACGTTCTTCTGACCGACTCTGAGAGCTGTCGGGACAATTCATTGAGGCTCGAACACGATGTCTCTCACCGAAAGTAGACTAGAGGAGCCCAAAGTGCTCGTATAGAAGCATGCATCCATTTGTGTTATTTTTTGCTCCTCGAAAGCTCCCTGACGGACGATGATTGATATTCCAGTGTGTCATCTGCGTAGGGGCCAAAGCTACAATGCAGACATTTCCTTGCGGACATCGAGTCGTGTGTCGCAAGTGTTTCGTCAAAACCATTCAAATGGCAGTCTCTCAGAGAATGTTGCCATTGCGTTGCGTCATATGCAGGACCAAGATAATAAGACTCAAACAGACAACGGGGGGTTTCGCCACCCCCGCGACCCACACGCCGCATCTAGCGAACACGAGGGCTTGCCTTCTTCGTCAGCCAGGAGCGATCGATGCCGAAGGCTTCAGCAGATCGCCCTTCCTTACCCCGGAGGAATTCGAGAAACCTCCGCCTATGAAGCAGTAAGCTATTGGACTCATCCTTCTTCGAAATTATCCCCCCTCCCCCATAATATCGATATCCCTGTAGATGTGAATCATTTCACGGCGGTCGCCCTCTATGGCTCCTTCCCCCATTAGAGCACTCGAAGACCCTTCTAATTATTGCAATCGGTCGGTCTCCAATCAAAGACAGACCCTCGAAGGATGAAGGAAATCTAGCTTCGCACATTCGTTTCGAAATTGATGCTCCTCCACACGATAACTCACAGACGTTGCGTGACGTATTTGTCGATGACGTTGTCGTTCTAAAGGAGGAGTTCCTAGTTCCTCTCCCGCCCTCCGGCTAAAATTAGGGTGCACTGCCTCAGAGAAGGTCTCCACCCACCCAGTCAGCCACCCCGCCGACGGACTGGCCTAAGTGTCCGCCTGGCGCTTCGCGGGCGGTCTGGCTGGCTGGTTAGGCCAAATTGGAATCGCGTCTCGTTCAACGCATTTTAACCGCAATTTCAGATACAGCAGGCAGGATTGTCGTTTTCATAAGCACTGGAAGAATAAGGTGGCAGCTGCTCCTCTTCCACATGACGTAAACGACATACTCATCGTACCGGGTGCGGACAAAGCGCGAATCTCGCCCGTGAGAGACGATCGACGCAAAAGGCCCAGTCTCAAAGGTGATGGCTCGCAGTGTTCCACGTCGCTCGGATGTATCGATCTATTGTGAGACCGGACTCCGTTCATCGAACGACCATCCTGCAAATAGATTGAAAAATGATCCGTCGTATTTTGTTACAGTCGGTGAAAATCCCCCACATTTACCGAACCCACCGCGGAAAAAAGATGTAAGACGGACACCCGTCTCGCCGAACCAACCGCTCTCGCCAACGATAATAGTTGAAAACTCTAGGAATCCCCTCAAAAATACCAATTCCGTCACTCAACAACAGCAACAACCGCTCAAGGACAAACGATCAGCCAAACTCGAGGGGGTCGCCAAAGATCGTCGGAAAATCAATGCCATCGCCGAGCGAGAGCTCGAAATGATTCCTCTCGTTCGTCTGGACAAGCCACCGTCCCCTGTAAGTTTCTCGGAATCAGAGTCCAATTCAGGAACCCATAACAGCAGATCATAATTTCATTGCGGATCGGTTACGCGGCTTGCCTGAGACATGGCCTTGAGAGCGATTGTGATGAAAAGACCGAAGACGATGACGATACATGAATTTCGAGACCGTCTGGTCATCCCACGGGCAGCAGCGGAAGTAGCGGTTTCGGTCAGCCCTCGAGAGCCTTTTTCCAAGTCTATCCTCCTGCAAGTGCATTAGATACCCACCGCGCCAACCATTCATTCCGATGAAGGTCACGTTCGCCTTATTTCTTCCATCGCCCGACGGGGCGTGGATCAGCGACTACTGACGCCTGGCTAAACCGCCGCTTAACAGCTGGTTGGTGGGCAGCCAGCCGGACGACCTTGAATGTTCCTAGCGCTCAGCTTGTTGAGGCTTCACAGATTAAGCGTCGCGGATCGAGGACGAGCACGCCGAGTACGGCTTCCTCGCCGGAAATATGCATCACGCCCCCGGACGACGAGAGCGAAAGCGAAGGAGAGACACATCTGATAATCACAACGCAGCCGATCAAAAACTCGAGTTCCACACGGAGCGCTTCTCTCTGCCGACCATCCCCCTCCGAAGTTGACGTTGATTGATCCGCGAAAGGGAGATTGTCAGCTCAGCATTCTCGATAACGCCATCGATGAAGAAGACGAACTCCTACTGTCGGTCGAGAACGCCGTCACTCTTCCCGATGGGACGGAAACCGCCACTGGTGAGCTCATTTATTTTTTTCGCCTTCGAATTCCGGCACCTCCCGTCAGTCGACTCCTGACGTTGACGTTCCCTTCCGATCGTCGTCTCGTCCCTCCTCGGACTCTTTCTTTTCCTCTGGATCCTCCGTCTTGCTCTCTATCATTCGTGCAATCAGGACCACGGTCCTATTTAATAAGGAAGCTCCTCGAGCCAAGGAGATGAAAGTTCAGGGAAGTCTCACTCCTTTCTCTTATCTTCAAGTCTCTGTTCCTACTCCGGAAGTCCGAATCGCACCTCCGCCGAATTTCCGCCGGAGGTCGCACCGAGTATCTCCCGAGCCTCGTCTTCAGAAGCCAACCACACGATTCGAAAAGTTCAAGTGAGTCACCTGCCCTCGGAGCGGAGCCACCGAGATACCGTACTCCCGGAACAAACGTCACTCGTGAAACTTTGCGGTCTGCGAATACCTCCAACGCGGAACTCCCTTGCTTTTTGCAGACAATATCATGTTCGCCAGCCTCTCCCTCTATTCCCCATTCCGGAAAAAGAGGAAGCGCAAGAAAGCATCGAACTACGGGGTATCCAAGCCTTCTACAAAGTCGACGATAAACTGGCCGCCTCGCAGAGCATTCCTCTCATCTCGGCTGACAACATGGTCTCAGTCGGGGGCTCGTTCCTGAATTCTGCGACCCGCACGAAAATGGCGCTTATAAGCAGTTTCAAGCAATTCCGCTCCAAGTCACCTTTGAAAGCCTTCGGAGTTCGCTCCCGGAAAACCGTGGCACCTCTGCTTGACATCGCTGAGGCGACTTTCAACATGTGAATCGATCTGCTGCCGAGCGAATTCAGAAATCAGGTAGATATATTCCCCGTGTATGAGGAGAAACTCCGAGCGGGGCTGCTCGAAATGTCTTAGGGATCAGCGATTCTTGAACGGTACCCTGGACAGGACGCCCCGATGTTGCCACGAGGTTCTTGATCTTCGCTCAGGATGGGGACCCGAGTACTTTTCCGTTGTGAAGCAACGGCTTTTGAACTTGAAGCAGATACTAGGACCTTCTTGAAGAAGCCTGGCTCCCGAGATCTCTAAAAGAAAAGAGCCCCGGGAAGAGGGCGCCGCGTTCGAGAGGGGGTCGAGGGCTGCCACGCCAGTGCAATCTTAACGTCTGATCCTGAGCTTCCGGAAGAATATTGCGAAACGCAAAAGCCCGGGAGATCCAAGGAGTGAACGTCATCCCTTGCCTTAGCTTCCCGGACCCCGCTAAGATATCCGTATAGTTCTCAGAGTATATTCGACTTTTCAGAATGTACAACGCGCTGGTGTAGAGCGAGTACGGAAGATTTCGAGAAGCTTCCGATTCATCCGTCAACAACGAAATATTCGAGTCTTAGAGCTCCTGCAGGTCTTCGCCTCGGAATCCTCGAAAGCAGAATGTGGGTCACCGATCATCGTAGTGCAGCGTTCTCTTGCTACAAAGTTCCTTACGATTCGTGTAGGATAACCGTCTCCAAGCAAGCCATCCACCGTTTTACGCGACGGCTCACTACGGGCGCCTTCTGTTATCGCTTACAAAGTTTACGGCGTGGACACTACGCCACTGTTATTGATGTAGAGCCATCTTTTCTAGGCTCTGGATTCGCTCCAGATCTCATTCCGCGATCTCATTCGAATTATTGCTAGTGAAGGAATACTACGCGGATCACGTACATATTGACTGGCTGAAACGCAAAGCTCCCGCGGATTCTAACAACTTGAATGGTGATACTTCATGAACTCGAAACCCATCGATCTTATTGAGGGGTACTCGATATTTCTTCCCAAAGAAGGCTCCGAACGAAGGCAATACTCGCCCGCACCGAGAACGGGGATACACTCCCCGTGGGGGGAAGAGAAGAAAAAGAGCGGAAAATTCAAGTAGCAATATAATCATGCAGAGCTTTATCAGAGATCGACAACATTCTACGCATGAATTCACGGGCCAGACAGCGAGCAATGTCTATCGGGCTTTCGTATTCCAGCGACGGCTCCTCATTCTACAATCACACTGAACCATTGAGCGATTATTGCTGGGAGTTCAGAAGAATTTCATCCGATATAGAATCCGGAAATGGCCGAAAAGGACGGTACGCCAATCACTCCAGTTTGCAGCGATACCCCATCCGGACAATGAATTTTGTACATACACTTAGCCCAGAGTGTGACCCCGACGATATGTGTAGCGATTCCTCTGATTTCTGAGTACGCTGCCGTCTTCGAATTTTTGACCGTGAGTTGGAGAATTTCTACCTCTCAGACCTCCGCGGAACACTGATCCGAAAACTATTTCTACGATTCGAGAGGTCGATCGTCGATCCTCATCACTCATGAGGATCGGCAGAGTTCAAGCTTGCACGAGCTACCGTTTAGTGACGTATGATTTCCCTCTATTCATTCTCTGGGGATTTGATATTTCGCCTCCATTTATCGGTCCCTCAGACGATCATTACACAAGCTCAGTTTCATACAAACAGAGCCCAGCTCGCCCTTTCTTGGACTTAATCACTAGAAATCGCAGCCAATTCCTCATGGTTCGCAGAAGAGGAAGTCTACAAATCCATTTTGAGCAGCACAAGTTATCTTCGGTAGTTCAGCACCCTACAAATCTTCGGAAGCCGTGTTCTCCCTCAACCAATCGTGACGTACCCTACGGAATTCCGTCGTCGATTGGAGTCTCCGGGAGGGTAAGCCACTCCCACTAGTTCATTCCTTCATCTGACAGTTTGTCCGATTTGATCTTGTTCTCTGCCGGATCTTAGTGATCCCCGGTGTTGAATTGGAACTTCCTTTGATCTGGCCTCTTGAAAGTTCAGCGTGCCGGTCGGAGTTGATGCAGTTGGGGGAGAACTAACCGTGTTGTGATTTTAAGTTGAAAGATAGAAGACTTAATGCCACAAAAGTGCTCCCAATAATCTCAACTCACCAGGAAAACCATGGAGTTACCCCGATGGAATAATATTGATACTATTAGTGTTATAATTGACGTCACGCATATTATTACTGAGACGGGTTACCGTGATCATCTCCATTGAGCTGACGTTACTGAATGAAGTCGGGTCGACCACATTTTGTAGGGAGAGATACGTAGCCAGATAGTCGTGAGCATTCCGATAGGAGGTCTAGTTGAATTTCTTGTTATTGACTTTAGACGTCACATCGCCCATTTACATCTACAAGAATACCGAATAAATTGGGGGAATTTCAGTCAAGAAAAAACCTGGCTCTTTTCTCAGAATTTTCGATTTCTCCTGAGCATTGGTAGGTTGATTGACGAGACGGACGACGACTTCTGAGCTCTCTGATCAACACCGTCAGATTTGGCGAGCTTCGGGAGTGATTCGTGGAGAACGCTGGTTCAAAGCCGTGAGGCCGGCTCCTCCCAATGGGCGCTGGGGGTGCCTACCGTGCCTGCTTCCCCTTGGGAATAAACCGGAATAGACTCTCCAAACCTCAGCTGGCCGAGCTTCAGGATTGAATGCCCGCTCCGTGCGTTCCTGAGTGCTGAGGTTTCTCCTGACACAACCGGACCTATGTGGAAAATAGCATTGGTAGGTGTATCGATTGCTAATCCGCCAACGGTCTTGTCTAAAGAAGACAATCCAGGATGGATTCTCGTTTTTCCCGCAGAAACTTGTTGAGCTTGTTTCCCCTCGAAAGCTTTACACACGCACTTGCCGGATTGGAACGCTTTCAGAAGTGCGTGGTTCGAGTGGGACAGCGGTGATCGATCGTGTACGCTATTCGAAAACACGATTTGAGAAGAAGATTCGAAAACAAGAATCTTGATCATACTGGTCTAGTCGGGCAGTGATACTTCAGCCACTTGGGAGCCGGCTTAATCATTGGTTCGTGACACTCGATGATCCAGGGAAGCGTCCCTCAATCTTCCCGTTTCGACTCCCCCGTGCGGCTGTGATCGCTCCTCTTCCCTTCTCCAGAATCGATTTCGAGCTTCTCTCACGAGCTTTCGGAACGAATGTTTCGTAATATCAGTCCGGGCACCCTCTCCCAGAACAGACGGGATGAAGAGAAAGAGAAGACACATCTTCATCAGTTTGAAAAATGCATTCATGTATACAAAAGCTCATGGTGTTACAAAATACAATTCATATACGAAATTTATGGACAGACTTCTCAGAGGAGCAGTGAGCAGGAAGGATCCAAATGAATACTATGCATATTTCTCTGCTTGCTCGTGAACAGTCGAGATAGGTAAGTTGTCTCGTTGTGACTGAATGTCTGTGAACGTCGGGACATCTCAGGGCTCGTGTTGCTCACGGTCTTGTCTATCATCAAGTTTATCTCTCCAGTTGGACTGTGAAAATCAAGGAAGAGCAATTATTAGTCGCGACTTCAACCCCGTTCCGAGATACATATATGTAAGACCACCCAAAGGACGGAGGAGAATATGAACATTCGAGAGGATTGGCAAGTTTTCGCTCGATGATATCAGAGCAAAAAGTTCCGCGATGCGACCAACGAAATGTGACCGACCTATTCAGAGCACTCTATTCAGGTCTGACGAAGAATACCCAAAAAGCTCCCTTCCCTCGAATGTCATTGAGCAGTGCAACTCGAATTCCTTAGGCTCCGCATCAATGAAACGAGGCGCGAAAAGCAAAAGATTGTGGAGTTTGCATTCCGATAGCAAAACTCAAGCCGTCGCCCATGCCATAGCGTGGTAGCGTGGACTGGTAGCTCATCGCTCGGCTGTCCACGTTAGCTGTTGGAAACGAACATGCCACGGACAGCCTATTTGCTCAAAAATCCCAGTGATGAGAGCTTGTGAGCAACAGAATTGATGTTACCGTACGACTACCGCACGCAGTTCAGACTTAACGGTCGGATAAAACCAACAACACGGACCTCGTCTCGGACCTCAAGTGCTCGTCTGAGATCTCCTTGTCTTTCGCGTCGCACCGAATTCGCTTCGACTACCAAATCTTGGAGCTCTCTGTTACCCATTGCCAGCTGGTGGTTCCGTTCCATGAGCTCGAGGTTCTTCTTACGCAGGATCTTTGTTCTTTCCTCGATATCTTCCTGATATCTTTTGAGCACTGCCAGCTTCTTATGCAGCTCCCGAGCTACGGACAGAAAATGGGGTTAGGGAGTTTCCGCTGATGAGCCAGATCCGAGGACGAGAAGGAATTTACTCTTGGATGGAGCATCGAATCGACATCGGAAGAAGCCTTGTTCCACGTACCTTTGTCTCCAAGCCACTTGGTTTCACGGTCCAGCATGCTTTGTCGCTCAGTATACGAATGATCGAATTCAAGGGGAACAGAATCTCGTCGCGAATCGACCACTACTTCTTCTTCGATTCCCTCTTGCGCCTCATTCGCATCCAGCTGCTTGTCACCGGTGTACATCGTTCTTGCCCTAAATGGGAGCTCCGTGATTAAGTCGCACTCGAATGAGAAGACAATGAGCTTAACGCGACCAGTCTTCCGGGCGCAGGCTCTGGTGTAAACTTGACTCAGTCTGTCTGTCGGGAGTAAGGGAGGACGAAAGGGCTTCTCTCCCATACACCACAGGCTCTGCATCAGATAAAGAGTCGCAGGTCTCAAATATCCTCTCTCCCAGTACCGGAGTCTGCGTCGGAGAAAGTAGAGAATGCGCTCTCAACAATCGTTCCACCGTGAAGCACCTGTCACGAGCCCTGTACATGCAGGGCGTTTTGCCGGATCCTGCGGAGAACCTCGATTGCCTCTGCGCATCTCGCAGAGGAGTTTTCTGGCCAGCTCGACGATCATCGATGGTTCGCGAACGGCGAGCCGAGATCGCATCGGACCGCGACCTGATTCGCGGTCTCTGACACCAGATTCGATGAATACTGGAGTAGCTGACTGAGTCTCCCATTGTCGGGACTCTGAACAGCATACGCATGAGGTCTCCCTTATTATGCCGGGGGATAATTTCGCTGCCAGAACGACGAGATTTTCCTCGGAGCTATCATGCACAGGACCCATTGGTTGCGCCGCTCTCAGAGGAGAGTTCAGACTGCTGGGTATGCCGATCATCTCGGTACACGTAAACTGGGCCCCAGCGACGATCGGGCCCCAGCGACAACTGGGCCCTGGCGATAGACTCGACGGTGTTTCCCAGAAAATGCTCCGGGGGGAGTGAGGCCACTTCGATGGTTCCCGGGCAAGACTGTCAGGCTACGAATGGGAATCTCGGGCATATGGATTTCTTGGGTCTGAATGAAGGACCGTGTGCCCCCTCACTATAGAGACGGGAACCGTTTTCACAAGACACAGACAACCTCGGGTGACATAAGCACCTGCGACCATGAGTCATTCGGCCGCTGTGAGTCACTTCTACTGTCAAGGATCCGAACACGTTGTCAGCTACGGTACGAACAACCTCAAGAAAATGCGTCCTCCCTTTGTCTGAGGTCTGTTTCTACGGAATCGGAACTCATAGACTCTATGGACTATTGGGAAACCCTTGGCCTCTTATCCTTTTCTTGGTCTCGAGGGGAAAGTCTCCAGTCGGGGAATCCGATCTGAGAAGCTCGGAGGTTCTCGGTCAGCATGACAGAAAAGCGAAGCACGGATAATGACGCGAATCAACTTGAGCACACTACTCACTCGACTTGATTGGGAAATTCCCCTTCAGAAACTTACTTCGGAGGTCTTATAGAAAACACCGATTCGTCAGAAGCACAACAAATCGAAGCAGATCTCGGAGTAACGCCAGCGGCAGCTCTCACGGTAGCACTAGTGTAGATGCGTTTGATTGTTGGGTCTGAGAACAGTTGAACTCAGACGATGGGTCTGTCGCGCTGGTGCTTCTCAGATCCCACCCTGTGCCGCTAGAAGCTGAGAGGCGACTCTGATATTTTCGGAAGTCTCGCCATAGTTATTAAGAGCTCGGGGCCACTCGAGTGGAAGAGAAGTCGGCTTACACGCTCGGCATCGGTCCGCAGCCTGAAGAGTCGAGTCGACTTCTGGGATCGGAGCCGGCTCCTGGATCAGAGAGAGCTCACCGCGAGCTCACGACCTGAGGACTGAAGCTCTATTCACCATTCCGCAGGATCTGATATCATGAATAACCAGAATGATTTGAGATTCGATTATGACTACACGGCGTTTATTTATTGCCTCGCTTATCAATCGCTTTAAGGTATCACAATTCTCTCGAAAATAATCGCGCGTGTCGGTAAAGCATATTTTCAAGCGTCTTGTCCGGCATTCTGAGTGCTATCGGGACGGCGAACACCGGCACAAGAGAGTATTTTCTATCCGCGGCGGTATCAGTGGGGTGTGTTCACATTGTTTTTACATCGAGCGGAGTTCACAGTACTACTCTGTGAGCTCTGATCGCGGAGTGTTGAAGCTCTCCTCGTGACTAGGGAGACGACAATACGGCCTTCAGTCGAACCATGGCTCTCGAGGACTTCCAGCACTACCTCGGATCCTACGTATTTCCGCACATACACTTCCACTCTCTTTCTCTTTTCTACAGACTGGTACTGCGACGGAGTATTCGACGGCCATCGCGGAGCGGGAGATCTCGCTCCGGAGAGGGTTCTCTTCCAGGAAAAGGATCATATCCCCTAATGTTACGCCAGATTCCAACAGAATCCCATCGAGGCTGAGTTCACTGCACGGAGCGGATAAGCTAATGCAGGTGGAGCATATCACTGCAGGAGGCATTTCTGTTGTTCGTCCTGTAGGCGTTGCGCAGTCGCCAAATCGATGTATTCGTCGTCCTCGATGCTGGTGAAAAAAAAAGGAAATTCAGTGGACAGAATACGAAATTTCAGGAGCGAGGACTCAGGCGATCGATAAGCTCCGTCTTCTCCGTAACGTGAAAACGATCCTCTTCCCCACCATTTCTCTTGCTCATCCAAGTCTTGGACCAGTCGGTCTCGTTCATTGACAATCTCTAGGAGTTCCTCAATGAGTGCTTGCTCCTGCTCCCGTTGTGCATCTGTTTTTGAGTTGTCCTCGATCTCCATCATGATCCTCAACTCTTTTTGTAGCAGATTGAACTTCCGTTCTAGATCCCCTTCATGTTCCCTGCAACAGACCATCCCCTCTCAAATTTTCCTCCGGGACAACTTTTCTATCACATACATTGAGCAATATCCGGTACTATCTAGTACAGATACGTGTGTTGATACAATGTTCCCGATACACAGTTCCGCCAGACCAGGAACTCACAGCAGATTGAGTTGCATTTGACGTCGAATGAGCGCGTTCTTCTTATTCACCAGAGTGAACCACTTCTGCATGCACCGATTCTCCTCAGTCTTGTTGCCAACTTTCATAACTCGACGCAGATATGGTTCGAAACGTTCAGCTTCTTCATCGATCTGTCGTCTTTCGCGTTCTAGCGCTTCGAGTTGCAACTCAATATAGGTGGCTTTGCGGCAGGAGTCCTGTAACGAGATTGAGCGAAGCTCAGAGACTTGGGTCGAGGATCTACGATCCCCGAAGAATTCGTACGTGAATATTCCGGCAGGACCGTTCACTGCTTTGGAGAAACTGAACGCTGGCTACGGCAGTACTGACCTTGCTCGAGGTTCGACTGACGCTTCGTTCCTTGCTCGGGCTCCGGCTGGGGTTGCCATTAATTTCGCTTGGAGCTGAAAGTTACCCTTTCGATTAAAAGTGTGCCCTCGTTCGCCCCAAAGAGCCGACTTAATTCATTACATGTAGACTCCCCACGGTGCTATAGAGGTCTTGCGGTGCTCAGAGAGCCCGAACAAGACCCTTACAGCTCATCAAACAGGACGCGACGACAGGACCCCCGACGCATGCCCGTCACGGGGTCTCTGAGCGCGGGGGCTGTCGTCTAGCGCTGAACCCTAACCCCGGCTGCTTCGAAGCACCATAACGCATCCATTAGAGGAAGTACTTAGACATCCCCCAGGAAGTGCGCCCAGACGGCCCGCAGTGCTTTCTCGCGAGGGCACTCGGATCAAAAGTACATAGAAAGGAGGAAAGAAAGCAACCAGCCAGCCAACTACACTTACAGGAGAACGATGCGCGTCGCTCGCCGCTTGCGAGAGTCGGGAACGCCGAATTAAACAGTGGAACTGCTGGCTCTCCGGGCGGATCAAGCGCCGGAGTTAAGCCTTGCTTCACTTCTGCGATGAGTCGGCGAGCTCGTTCGCGAAGATGTTCTCGCCGTTTGATCTCAGCCTGAAAATCGAAGCCCTGACGCTCAGACTCTTGTCGGCAAGCCCCACTGGCGACTCCTGATTCCATTCACCCGTTACCGGAGTCCATCCGAAAGTGTTCGAATGAGCTCCGCAGATTCTATTCATGTTCGCCCTGATCAGATTGACGTCGCTCCTTTTCACTCGGGGTAAGTTCATGTTCATCAGCCCGGTACCGATTTCCATGAGAGCGAGCAGCTGAACCGTCGATTTTCAGCGGCTTCGAGGGTCGCTCGGATGCGAACGGTGCATAGCTCTGCCGCCCGAATAGGGACCGACCATTGCTAATATCCAGACTCACTGAGGGGGAACAGCTGCTTCTACCTCTCGCTTTTGCGGCACACATTGAATGACACTTTTGTGATATGCATGCGGACGGTGAATGCATGAAGGTATACGCAATGCTCGGCAGTCGCTCGAGGGCAACCGCTCCGCAATAGCTCGTGGACACTGACTCATGAGGGATGGAAGATTATCATTCGCCATACTGGACTATGCCGCTCTCAGTTACAGGCTATGAACGAATGCAAACGTCAGACATCGCGACTTCCAGGTCGGTCCGTGATCTGCATGCTTGGGAGGATAGACATATCGTTCTTCCTCTGCTAAGGATGCTAACAATCAACGACGACCGACAAAAATTGAAGCAGAGCCTACGAATGCGCGGCACGAACCTCGGTTAGCTGTTGTTCGGAAATACTGGTAGTCATGTGCTGATTGCGTGATTGCTTCTTGGCTTCTTCGAGGAGCTGCTGAGCACGCTTTCTTAGTTCCTCCTGACGGTTCTCGGGTTTCTGCTGTTTGCGTTAGTGAACAAACAAGGCGAACAATAATTACTACACGAGCAAAGAGAATTCGAGGACGACGACTTCATCAAATACCTCTTCCTGATGCTCTTGGTTATGGAAAAGTCGGAAGTCGACCATAGCCACTGACACCCACCTTTGCGATGTCGGAGCAGCCGCTCGGCAACGATAAAGACCGCGGGGGCGCCGCGGTGGGTAGCGGAAGGTCGATCGGACTGCCCTGAGCGGGTGACGGCGATTTCTCAGACTCCGTATCGGAGTCGAAGGTCTTATTCGGCTCGACGAGACGTCGCGTGTTAGTCTCCGGAGACCTCCGATAATCTTCGGTTGGTTCTCCTTTCACAGGTTCCTTGCGAGCGATCTATGAGGGTTCAGGGTGGAGTTAATTGATCATGAGTAGCTTCCCGGGGATTAAACGAAAAATCTTGCCTGAAACGAAGTACCAAATATCGGTGGGAATCACTCCATGTCCGGGAGCCGAAATGTATATGTCTCACCATCTGATCGGTACAAGATCGCTGTGGGGGCTTCGGCGGAGAATTGAGTTTGAACTTGAAGTCAGCGATTTTATCGGCTGCTCTCACGAATTTGGGGATGAAAAGCTCCTGCCGCGACTGTGGGCTGAGAACTTCTCGCTCTGAATCCTCCCCGCTCTCGTATTCGGCCTCGTCTTCCTCTTCGATCAACGACGGTTGCCTGATTATGAAATTATGAATAGATTAGGGAGATTCCCCGTATCGGCTATTGTCGCCGTCGGCCATCCAATATCGGCAGGTAATGAGGTTCCCGGCACGGCAGTTATCTGACGAACCTGACTAACGTGTACATGGAATCGGCCGCAGTGTTTCCGATTCTCTTGATCTGGACCTCTTCTCCGGTAAAATGTGCCTTCAGCTGATATAAATAAGTCATAACGACCAATTTATCCGGAACATTCAGAACAACCATATCGGTTGGATCGATCAGTCTGGGGATTCCGAGTTCCGCCGCTGCGTCGAATGCCTGCAATTATAATCGGTGTTCGAGAATCCGTAGTCTAGTTTTGTTTGGCTTGGGCTGGCGACGTGCGACACGGGAGCGCTCTCATCGAATGGATCCCGGCCAAGAGAAGACTCCGTTGAAAATGCGATAGCGTGAGTCTCTGGAGATTGAGAGCGTCTCCGGTGACTCCATGAGAACCTCTGTATTACAACGCCGGTGCGAAACCTCGCAAACGAGACTCAGGAACGGCGAGAATATCAACAAGGCTGCAGCCCTGATGTCACACGTGTCAACCAAAGTACAAAAAAAGCAGAAGTTCTTATCATCGGTGAGCTCGATGGAGCCGTCCGCTACTTCCTCGCCGCGCACCAAGCCGTGATGGGACGATATATGAACGAGACGTAAAAATCAAACAACACCCAAATGATAGAAGAGAGGAGTACAAAACTCGAGTCGGCGTGTACACTGCAGTTTCTTCTTCTCTGCCATCTCGGAGCTCGCGGGTAGGCACTACCGGTGCCAGCTACTCAACAGCAAGCCGGACCTAGGAGAGCGGAGAAGCGTGTATATTCTGGAAATCCGGCTTACCTTTTTACAGTTCCCTTTGATATCGTAAGCCGACAAGCTATCGTAATCGATGAGATCGGGTCGGAAGCTGTGGATGATTGCACAGAAAGCCAAGCCATTCCGCCAAGAGGTGGTCATGTTGATCAAGGTGACATTTCGGTAGCCTGGAGAAGAACAGAGGATGGATCAAGAATTGAGGTTCCATGCACTGATTCCATCGAAATCTGACATCACGGGGTTGGGATCTCCCCAGGAGTGATTCTCACCTTGGGTGACTTCTTGACACCACAGAAGAAGTTCGTCGCCCGTCATGTCGTCTTGACTCGGGCCCGGCTCTTCTTCGGAAACTTTTTCTCCCGGTTTCGCTGAGCTGCAAGAGAAAAAGTCATAGCTTTCATTCTTAGTTTCAGGTTATGTCTCTCAGGGGTGATTATTTCCGCTCCCGTGGGCGGGGGACCTACAATTTCGCGCGATTGGAAACAGTATTCGGATGCACTTCGTCCGCGCTCTACTAGATCGTCACGTCCCCGGAGGAAATCCCTCTGCATGCGATCGAATGTGGACTCCCCGTCGCCGCGAGCGAAGCGTCCGCACTCGTCGGGACTGCGAAATCTCGCCAGAGCTCAGTTCAGACGAGAAAGCTGCTTAAATAGAAGGATTGGATAAAGTTGTCGCACTCGACGTCATCTGCAGTGAGCTCTCCCGGAGCGTCTCCCCGCAGGTGACAAGAACGCTCGAAACAATGGAGATGTTCACCCCGTCAGAAGCAGGCCGACCTCGGTTCCCATCCGCAATCGCGATTGGGAGTCACCCAGATGCCTCGAAACCCTCGGCAAAGATCGAACACTGATTCGGATTGCTCGCGTCGATGCTAGAGGACGGAGTGCGAACATATTGAGGAACTCCCACGCTGAATCGCGAACGGGGAGCTCCCCGAGAATGAGCGAGCACCTGCGTTCCGATAATGAGAGGATTGGGGGAGAGTATCGCCGACCGAGAGTACCGAATGCGTCGCATGGGTCCGGTTGTCCGAACCCATTCCTCGGATCAATGTATCTGAATCAGACCCGCTGTACGGGGACAGCCTGGCGAAACCAGGAGCACTCCCGGAGCCGAGTAGGCCACAGGTGGAGCACACCCAGATCTGAAAGTTTTGAAACTCGCCCTTGGTCGATAAACGCAACCCCTCCCTTCCCGCGCATAAATTGCGGCTTTTAATCAACGTCAAAAGGAGTATAAGAATTCCCGAGATAAGACACGTGATGTGAAATGATCACACACTCGTTATCAGCACGGCTGAACTCGGGAGGCTTGCGCACATACTTCAAAACCGGGAGACCGGTAAATGGGTCTCCCAAGTCGAGAAGCGGAGCACGACCAGAGAGCGCCGTTGGAGGTAGGTACGTTATTGTGGATGCATCGGGGAACACGCTACAACCTCATGATCGATTCCCCTCGCTGCGGAGAAAAACGGGCGAGAGGCGTCGGCTCGCTCTGGATTAGCTTAGGGTCGAGATTACGGAGCCCAGCATTTAAACTCAAACTCGTTTGGGAGATCGACTAACTGACTCACTGAGCAAAGGAGCGGGGAGCCAAGTTAACTCATAATTAGGCGGGCTCTCGGCAAACGAGCGGGTCCGCTTCACTTCAAAGAGGCGAAGGTGCGAGATAACGACCAAGCCATACGCCGTACGAGCTCCGCGTAGGATAGTTATTTCCTCTTCCTCCACCGCGCACCTCCTCTTCCTCCGAAGTTTCAAAACAGCCAATTCCGGAATCGCGTTCTCCGACGAAAATCAAGCTCACATTTGCCGAACCATCGCAGCCGGATTTCGCATCCTTAGGGCATGCTTTCACTCGAGCTCTAGACACATTGTCGAACTACCGTCATGCGACAGCACCCACGACTCATCGCCTGCTAGGCGAACTTTTCCAGTAAGTAAGCGAGACCCTCTCGTCTTCCTAGCGCACTCGCGGAATCTGACCTACGACGCCGACGTACTCATGACTTAGATCCCGGAGGAGTCACTCGGGCAGCAGAGAGGCTCTCCTCAAGCATACAAAATGGCACTCCGGTCGAAATGTCGTTAGTCGACAACATGCTCCACTTATCAGATGACGATGGCGGTGACGGCAACGAGACTGAGTCGTTTTCGAGAAGAACGACTAGCGAAAGCGCGCTTTAAACCGAGCGAAAAATATGAAAATTTGCGACTTGTGCAGCCGGCGCGGCGGAGATGTTGGGCAGGGACCGCTGAGTTAGGAGTCGGTCGAGCAGTCGCCGTCGCAGCAGCTCAGACAGGAAAAGAAAAGTCGGGAAGTGAACGAGCGGGCGAACGAACGTGGGTACCGAAGATGATGAACGAATCACTAGCGACGGGTCGATCGGGTTCGAACATGGCTCCTGCGCTCCATTCGGCGGTGATGGCGTTTGGGAGCGAAGAATTAAGGCAGCAATAAAAAACGTCTCAAGCGGAAAAGAAAACGAAACGGGACTCGGTTGCTCCTCACGTCAGCAACGCTCCACGACAACTGGCTGAGGAAGGAAAGCCTGAGAGGGAAAAGAAAAATCCCTCCACTAAACTCCCGAGCAAAAAAAATTAGTGAAACGGCTGCTGCGAGACTTTCCCAATCGGATCCTAGGCTCTATCAATATCCCAAAGCCGTTTAAAACACGGGGCTGGCCCCTCACTCCTCTGGTTCGAATTTCAGGGACGAGAGGCTCTCGACGATAGATCTTACTCGCAAAAACTCATTCGTAATCGAGATCGCTGCAAAGCTGCTGACCGCAAACCCGATCCGATCGGTTCTTAGGCTCTCGTGAGGACCTCGATTAGATTAAACGTCCACGGTCGGAGTCCATCAGTCGAATGCGCTCGACAGCTTGAATGGCAGGCCTCTCTGGAGCTTCGCGCCGCTCCGCGCGGATGCAGAACGGATTCGAAGATGCTCCGAAAATGGGTTCTTCCAGGGTTTCAGACCTCTGAGAGTCGGGGTATGCATGGGTCTCTCTCGACACGGGAGGAATTCTTCCAGCGTCTTTCTCTGCTATCGTAATTTCCCAGCTCCATGAATAGTGTTCGGATACTTCGGTATTGTTTTCAGACCGGCACATTAATGCGGGTGATTACGCTGGTGCATGGCCACCCGTTTATGCGTTTTTCGTTCAAGAAGTTATAGCTCGAACGTGCGGGCGAATGCTGCAATTTCCGAAGCACGCGCCAATCGACTCGTGTGCACACTCACGCAAACATACACATCAGACTAGATGAAACGTATGAGCGGCTCCGTGCACGGAAAAGCATTATCGAGGTCTCTTGTACGCTCATCTTTCCCGCATGAACCTCTTATCGGATTCTTGTTGGGACTGCGGTTGGCGAGCGATCGAAAAATCAGCCGAGATATGTTGGAACAGAACACGCGATCTCAAAGCTCCCAACGGAGGATCGAAATCTCAGGGAACGATAATTATCCTCTCATTAGAATGGGAGGATCTTTACAAAAACTTGGGCGATATGGCGAGAGTAAGGATATCGATAACCGCCCGGCTGTCTTTGAAGGATAGTGTCATCAAAAATCCATGAGCATGCCGTGAAACTTCTCTCCAAGACCTCCGCCTGCCATCCAGCTTGGGACGGTGCTTTCGACTCGTCCCCAATTAAGAAGCTGGTGCCCAACGGAGCCTCTCGTCACCGACGGGGTGCTTCTCTCAAACTGTCGAAGAGGGCCAGCGAACCCGAGCTCGATAATACCTTCGGCAGACTCTAACGACCTGTCGCAGCTAGGCGAGGAGACCACCTCTACCTCTTCTTATGTATCATAGACTGACCACACGGGAGCGAAGTCTCCTGAGATGTCGTAGCCGCACAAGTAGACGTCCCGGTCCATTGAATACGCGGTAAAAACGTCATTCGGGAGGGCATCCGGAACCTCCGACGAACTAGCCAGTCGGCGGATCCGTCTCCGGCCAACTACTATATGTATGTATGAACGGAAACCCTATCATGGAAGATTACGTTCCTGAGCGTCATACACTGCAAGGAGTGTCTAGACACCGACCGATACCGATCTGGAAGCGTACCGGCAGGGGTTCTAACCTTGGAGCAGGGACAAGGGCTCTGCCTTCTGGAGACGCCTCTGGGGATTCGAGTTTCGGAATTATCGGCAAGTCCCCTCCAAGGGGTGGGAAGACCCCCTTCGGTGGCTATCGGAAGTCAATTCAAGGGGGAGGATTGGACTAAGCAGGTCTTCGTCTGTGTATCCGTCTATCTATCTATTGGCAAAGCACCCGTACCCCGATGGGTATATGAGCTGGGGTACGTATCGTGAGAGCGGGTGGAATAATCCTTTCACGGGACACCGATCACATCATATTAGCTGTTTCCTGACTTCCGTATCTACCCTTCGGGTCACTCCTAGACTGCAGCTGGCTTATTTCCCTCACTGTGCAGAGGTGTCACCGACTAGACCTTGTTGTCTCGCGACGAGAGAGGGAAGCGGCGATAAGAGACGAGGAACGAAGGAAACTCGCTCCAGTGACAAATGTTCCGGCCTTTGTCGAGGATCTATGGATTCGGCCTGAGAGCGATAGCGCTCGAAAAATTCCGGATACTCCGTACGCATGAGCGGCTCCGGGTGCGAACCATCTGCAAAGCCGTCGTTCCTCCGTCGCGTCGGCATACCGTTTGCTGACATTGGAGCTCGAACTAGGACGAATGAATTATTTTCTCGTTCGAAGAAAAGAAATCCTTCGATTTAGCTATCGACCAATTGACTTCTAATCTCAAGGATCGAGAATACAACGAACCCACCATGTCATTTGATTATTTTCGAGATATATGGAATGTGGTGGGCGATGTTAAATTCCCGCCGAGGCGGAGGAGGCCAAGTGAACAACGAACGCTCATTTAATAACATTGCTCTGTCAGTCAGTGAGCCTCTGTCGTCCATCCATGTCTAGCTCTCCCATATCGTATCGAGCGATGACTAACAATAAGTTCCACCGACAGGGCAGCGACTCACTGGCGCCGCGACCGACCGGATCGGCTTCGTGAAGTAAAACTCACCGACCAAACCAGACAGCTCCGGCAATTCGAGAATAAGTCGACTCCAAAACTCAATTTCACGTCATCATCTCGCAGCGGAAGAGGAAGCTTGCTATTATAACAGTACTCGAACACTTCACTTCCGCGCATCCACGGAACAACTGCCCAAAAGGAGCGAGATGGATCTCTTAGAGAAGTTCTGAAAGTTCTCTTTTATCTCGAGTGTTTGCACGTCAAGAGCAGGCGAGCCAAAAGTCGAAGGCTCGTGGCCAACCACCGAGGAGTTGATTTCTCCGGAGCACGGAGAGGGAAAAACAAGGAAAAA